TTTTATACTTCTTTCTTTATTTTTTTATTATGTGTTATTAACTTGTATTATATTTAATCTTTGTATTTTTAAACATTGTGACTTTGTAAATATCTAAATTGTCAATAAATTCTTGCTGACTGGGCTCGTTCATAGGCTGGTGTGGAGCCGGACCAGTAGCCAAGCTTTGGGCTACATGGTAAAGGGTCCATAATGACCTAGGCACATGTCCAAAGCTTGGAGAAAAGAAAAAAAAAGTTTAATCAAAATGCATAGTTTAATGAAAAAATACATGGTTTAATCAAAATGTCTTTAAATTTGTTAAAATTATTGCAGCATTTTTAAAAGAATGATTAATTTTATGCATGTGATGTTTTTTTTTTATTAGTTTGTTTTTTAAACATTGTTATATGCGTATAAAACATTTTCATGCCTGCACGCTATAAAGACGGCCTTGATACTCCTGCAAAGCTCGTAAGCTCATTAAGGATAAATTACTTATATAAAGCTTAAGTAAATTATATAAATATAAAATCATTCAATAGAAGAAAAAAAAAGTAAAGCTTGTACATAAGTAATTGTGCAGCTGCTTAAACGCAACGTCAAATTTTGCTAGTTGAGTAAAAAAGTGATAATTGAGTTATAGAGAAAAATCTACCATGCTGTATCAAAGTGCACAGTGTTGAATAATCCTCAAATGCTTGAAACGGTTTGCGAACCGCAGAATTTGTTGAATGGAGTGTCAAGGTATTTTGGTCATTCTAATATGCATGAGGGTTTGAACCAGCAGAATCTATTGATTTATGTAAAATTTCTTTAGTCAAGATGGTGAATATTTTTGAAAGAAATATAGTATGGCGATAACTTTTTCTTTTCTTAAATTAGGAAAAAATATGTTTGTTTCTGTGTATTATTGTTTCTGGTGTGTTGCATCGTTTTAAAGATAAAAAGAAAATCACATTATTTCAATCACTTTCTCACTTTTCATTGCCAGCCTTATTCGCTTGTTAAACAAAATTACATTTGAGTAATAGTTTTTACAATGCTTTAGACTAATTTGTAATCACATGAATTATGCATTTAACATTTGAGTGGATAGCATTTTTAATATTATATTACCAACTCTAGTGTTATTTTTTGTCCTATTTTTGTAAGTTTTTTTTAAAAATATTGTTAAACTTAATTTAAATTTTTAAGAAAACTTTTTTGCATGCTTTGAATTTTTTGTTCTATTTTTCTGTTTTTAAATGTAGTTTGTCAATTTTATTCTAGGCCTCATCACTCCATGTATTCATTATCGCCAGGTTTCTGTGCACCTCCATTTCCGCCTGTCAATCATCATATGTCAAACAAGTTTTCACCAAACCTGTCATCATCATCATCATCACCCCCAGTCATTTTACCCAGCCTCACACACCCCCCTTTGGTAACACCAAAGGTAGAGATGCCTGATTCTCAGAACAGCGGGTAGGACTAAAATCTACACTAACCTTTTTTTGTTTTGTTTCTTTCATTCAGTTATGAACAGGATTGGCATTTTATTGGGAAGAAATAGATTTCTTCTAAGACACTGAAAGAGACTAGAAAGTATATATAGGTATTTTTCTGTTAACCGGGCTCAAGCGAAAAATCGCCTAAAAATGTAGAATTTCGCCAAATTTCTTTCAACCATTAAGGGAAATGTTAGTATGGGGCCATGCACTCTATTATCTGAATTCATTCCAAACAAAGCACGTTTTCTTTTCTTTCTTCTATCTTAAGTTTTGTTTTATAAAAGCATTAATTTAAGCATTCTTTTTCGGTAAAAATGTTTTCTCTATTATTAATAAATATTTATTTATACTCGAACATTTTGAACTTATATTCTGTTGACTGTTTTGTCATTCACTTCCCTTGGCGACTTGGCTCACGTTTGGTTCACATTTGACAACATTTGCGCCCGTCTAACGAGAAAGTATTAAAAGAATAACTAAGGAAATTGGCTAAAATGGAAAAAACTAAACATGTTCAATACAATAGTTTAGCAATGATTATTATTGTATAACTTAAAATTTAATATTTACGGTTGGGCAGAGTGTAAACAATAACAAGCTTCCTAAAATCTGATAAAAATGTAAGAAAACTTTTGGTGCATTCCTCCGTTTGTGTTATGGTTACGAGGCGCTGTGTGAACAGGCTTAATATTCGAGGAAGTTTTATTATTATAATTTGTGATTAAATTTACTCCTAATTTCACGATTCATAAGAGTTTCCTGTAATTTAAAAAGTCTTAACTGGTTGTGAGTCAGAATCAAATTTAAGAAAATTAATATCAAAACATAAATTAAGTCCCTTTCCCTTCTTCACTCAGATGCTTCCCAAAAACGCAATTGATCAAAAAAATGGTAACCAGTTTACAACACAAAAAAACCATTTATTAACAATGGTAAAAGATGAAGTTAGAATTAAAATTAATATAACCAAGCAGGGTTGGCAAGATTTTGCTGCAGGTGGAAAAAACCGTGGTAAATACCGGTAAAAACCGTCCTGGCAAAAACAGGTTTTTGCCAACCAAAGTGGCAAAAAGTGGCAAAAACCTATATTTTCCAAGATGAGAGGACAAAAACACATTTTTGATACAAAATTATTCCTAAAATTGAAATATATTTCATGAATATAAATAGTTACAAAAAATTAACAAAATTATTATTCCATAATTAAATGATAATGTAATAATATATCATTTTAGTAGTTTAAAACATTATTGATTGGAAAATTTGTGATTATTCTCTTTTTTCCAGTGAAATGAACTTATTTTAAATTAATATAACTATAATTTAAAGCATAAAATATCTATCAACATGTGTAGTTAATTATTGTACAAATAATAATTTTTTATAATAAATAATAATATTATACAAATAATAATAATTATTTATTTGTAAAAAAACATTTATTTTAGGATTCTAAAATGAAAAGAGATCAAAAACTTTCAATCTTTTAAAAATTATTACCCTTATATTAATTATTAATATGTTAAAAATAATTTTTTCATGTAATGTATCAAAATTATTATTCCTTATGATTGATTTAAATTTGTTTCAAGTATTTTGTAATAATATCTAATCAGCAATTTAGATAATTTGGTTTTTGCCGGTTTTTACCAGTTTTTGCCGGTTTTTACCAGGTTTTTGCCACTGTCCTGGCAAAAACCCCTTTTTGCCGTCAAAAACTCCAACCATGTAACCAAGCCACCTAAGCAAAACTACAAGCACACATCCTTTTTCTCATTTCCGCTCTCAATCACAGCATTCCCACCTCTTGTCTTTTTTTACAACATCTACCTTGATGACAGCACCATCACAACATGTAGGCTTGACAAACTTCATAAAATGTTGCAGTGTAAAGCATTCAATAAACATACCATTAAGCTATATAATATAAAATATTCAATACAAACATAAAAAAAATATATTATGGGACATTCAATAAAAAAATAAAGAACAACCATTTTTATACTAACATAGAAAAACAATGTAATATTATACAAACTTATAGCAATATGAAACGTTCAATAAAAACATATATGGAGGCATGACAGCATGCTTGCGAAGTGTTTCTAATTCATTTGTTGTTTGTTTCATTGAAATTTAAATTGAAAGTATGCATTATATTTTAAACACTACAAGTATAAGTTTAGGCATAAAAATCAGTCTGAAGTAGTAACCTAGAGGTCTTACAACAAATCTTAACCCCTAGCACCATCTGTGCTTAGCTTTATACGGTCAACTATCCATAGTACTAGAATGATATAAGTCATATCTTAAAAGATAAAATTTTCACATTATTAATTTTAGTTATATAGAGTTTTAAAATTTATATAACTTATTTTATCTTAGAATCTGTTTGAGCATTCATTTTAAAAAGTATTTGATTCAGAAATATTTTTTTTGTTATGTATTATATTATATTTATTATACAATATGTATTTTAGTATTAAATATATTTGTAGTCTTATATGTTTAATAGATGATTTATTAAGTAGTATAAATTTTATTATGATATTTTAATGATTCTTTGTATAATTATTAAATCAGGTTTTGCTATACTTCTTTTAAGAAAAATACTAAAAAACGATTGTAATTTTTATTATAAAATTCATTTTTGTTTTGAATTTGTTCTTTTTAGCTTTCATTTACTTAAAAATGATATATTAAATAACTTTGAAATTATGTAATAATTGAAATGTGATGATAAACTGTTTAAAATTGGTTTAAATATTAGATTTTGGCATTGTGTATAGTGCCAAGACATTTCTATTTAAAGAAAAAGAAATGTTTTTTTTATGTACTTTCACCTGGGCTAGAAGATATCTATTTCTTCCAGGGATGTTTTTTCCTCTGAGGAAGAAATTTGCCATCCTTGGTTTTAACACTATGTTAAAAATTTTTTTTAACAAATGTTAACTTTTTTTAATATTGCCTGCCTATCATCAACACTTATTATAACTGACTGCTCAGATAAAATGCTTATTTTTTATAAATATGTTAAAATCAAGGTATCTGCGCACCTGGGAAGTCATTAATTTCGGTGTTGAACAAATTTGTCATAAAATGCTATGATTTTAACTATTTTTTAAAAAAAAATCAAGGAAAGTCATGGTTGCATAAAAATCACATTTTTAAAATTTTTAAATGGATACCAATTTCATGGTATTATGAATATCTGAATTTGTATCAAAATACTCACTTACGGTTATATTTGATTAAAATATAAATTGTTTTTATCATGTTCTTTAAAAATTATGGTGTTCTTTTAAAAAATGCAAAATTTTTTTTTGTGCGAATTATCATTTAAACTTCGGTGATTTTTAAAATTTTGCTATTTTTTTATTTTTTATTTTATTTTATCAATTTAAAAATCTAGCTGAAGCAAGCCAGTCATTGGTGAATTTTTTTCATTCCGAAATGAGAACAGAAAAATCAGGAATATTTCTTTCCTTTTTGATAAAACACGAAAAGTATCTTTGGATTTGCTTTTGTATTACTCTGTTTTTTAAATTCAAAATCTATGAAGATGCAGAGTATAACAGTTTTAATTATACCTATTATTTCTATTAATGTTATTATAATGCTTTTTTATATTTATCGTTGTGTTTTTGTCGGGGAAAATAGTTACTTCGTTAAGTCATGAAAAGTCATGAATTTAAAAATCTAAAATATAGCAGATACCCTGTAAAATATGCCACATTGCAATTTTCATTGTTTATAGATGAAGTTTCTTTTCATCCTTGTCTGAAATACTTAAGAGCACGCCATACTGTGGAAGAATATTTTCCCCGCAAATTCCTCTTTTTCCTTCATTACTAATTTAAAGTTTAGAAAAAGTAAGTTCAGATAAACCTAGAGTAAGCCATGAAGTTTAAATAGTGAAAAGAAAATTTTAAAATAAATACAAATGAAAATAAATTATGAGAAGATAACTCCGGATTACGTAATGGTGAAGTTATCTTCTCATAATTTGTTTGCATTTGAATATTTGAAGAATTTTTTTCAAGACTAAATCTTTATGACTTACTCTTGGTTTGCCTGAACTTACTTTTTCTTTCTTTTAAATTAGTAATGAAGGATAAAGATAATTTGCATTGAAAATTTTCTTCTGCCGTACGGTGTTCTCTTAAATGATCTGATGAATAAGTTAAATAGTGTTATCATCTGAGATATTTAAATATTTTGCTTTTTAAATTGAAATTTTTTTTAGTCAGTATCATTTAATACATTGAATTATTGTATATATTCTGCCATCCTAAGCAAAAAGCATCAATAGGAATTCTCACTTTTGTAGCAGTATTGTTCTCTCTAGTATTTCTGTGTTGACCATATTTTCTCTCTCTCAAAAATCAAAACAAAACCTTCATGATGTCTGTGACAGAAAATATTTTCAAATTTGTTTTGAAAAATCATTGTTATAAAGTTTTTTGATATTTATTTCTAGTATAAAGCACATAAAATCGAAAAATAATTATGATCTCCCCTTAGTTGACACCAGTACAAAAATTTATTAGCAGTAAGCTAAAAAAGTACCTATTTGAACTTTTCATTCCTGATCCATTTCTTATCGAAATATATGGGGTACATTTTGTTTCAGACATACTTTCAAAATGTAACTCAACTTTTTGAAGCTAATCAATTTCTTTTTTAACGCTTTCTATTTCGAAATGAAATATTGATCATTCTTATGAAATGATATCTTCTTAGAAAATTTTTAGTTGGGCTTAAATTCTATTTGAAGATGTTTTAATATAGATTATCTGTTGCACTTGATTATCTGTTTCACTAATGATTTATTAAATCTTCTCCATGCTCTTTTCTCTCTCCTTATTTTTTAAGACTAACAGTTAAAAATTAAATGAAAGTTGATTTAATAAATAAAATTTTATTTATCATAGAAAATTATAATGACTACATTAATATGCCACTTTACATAATAGTCTTCTCATTGTTACTTGGGTCGCAATAATTAATATTAAACCTTAACATTTCAGATTATCATTGTAAATAATCATTCATTCTTGATATCATTGTTTTTTTTATTATAAATAGTTATTTCATTAGATGGTTCCAGAGGTTACAATTACCATTCCCCAAGATTGTAAGCTCTTTAAAAGCTTACTATAAGAAGCACATGATAGTTTCCCAGCCATCTAAACAGACAGGGCGAAGAAAAACAATTGGCACTACATAGTTCAGTGTTTGCATTTTGTGTCGGCATTCTAATTAAAGCGGTATATTTTCTGTTTCTATTGTACTGAAAATATATCACATGTAGTAAGGGGTCATGCAGTAGAGAGGTGTCTTAACACATAGCAGTTAATTTTACTGTAAAATCTAGTTAGTTATTGAATTTTTTCCCTTTTTCTTTTTTAAAAATAAGAAAATAAGAATTTTAGTGTTTATAAGAAATTTCCTCAGAAACTGAAGTTTTTTTTTAAAAAGAAAACCTTATCAATTATTTTTTTAAGTAGAGTATAGTTTATATGTGTATTAAAACATGTATTATTTCTAAATAATGATGATAATATGAGGTACAAATATAAAGTAAATTAAAAAAATATTTTATATCAAGAGATTATTTTGAAATTACTTTTGTTATAGGTTAGGTTAATATTTTTGTAATCAAGAAATATTACAACTATCTTAACTATTACTAACCTTTTACTATTCAAAATCTCAATTTTAAGAATACAATGATTAGGATCCAGTTGTAAATGGAAAATATTGCAGTGAATTTCATTGGTGCAATTCACTTTTAACTATTTATTTTGCTTTTATTTATTATTAAAAAATCCCTTAATTATTTAGGATTTTATCTATGATAGATTGCATTTCACGATAGTCTACAGAACTTTTTTCCTCTTTTTGTGTAATCTATCTGATTTTTTCCATTAGTAGCTTTATTGGAAGAATAAGGTGTATTACAGGGTGCGTAGCATGTTTAAAAAGTGCTTAAAGGTGCTTATATTGGATTTACATTTTTTAAAAGCCCTGGAAGGTGCTTTTTTTATTCGGATTTTGTAAAAAGTGCTCAATTTTTCTATCTTTTTAAAAAGAGATTTTTACTTTGCTGTATCAATTTTGTTGGAAATTACGAAAAAATGTGTGATTTTCACAAATTTCTATGCGATAGAAAAAAATAAATTTTTTTTACTGCACAGATTCTAATATATATATATGTATATATTTTAGAAAGTGATTAAAAGTTTTTTTTGAGTGCTTAAAAAGTACTTATAAGGTACTTAGTTTTTGTTGAAAAAATTTGACTTTGCAATCGCCAAGCGTAATTGGGAGATGAATTAGATTAATGAACTCTGTTTCAGCATTTTTTGTTGTACTCAGTATACTTTTTTTTTATTTACTTGTTTTCTGCTAAAACTGCTCATAATCTGCCATTAGAAATAAAAAAAAATATACATATATATATTTTGGAATGAATTTCTTGATAGCAAGCACAATTTTTTTCCCTCTTTTGCAGATTTTTTTCCTCAGTAGCAATATTGGAAAAATAAGTTGTATTAGTATGCAAATACTATATACACATGTTTTTTTAAACATGTTTATTAAATTTTGTTGGTCAATATTTTTTATTTCTTTGTTAATTTTTTTGTTGTAGGCAACTCTCTAATTTAATTCACCACAGTCACCATAGCCATTCAGTCAGTTCATTGCCGCAGCAACGCAATCAAAATAGCAACAACACACTGTCATCTAGTGGGAGATCTATTTCTGAACGCACACACAATGAGAAGAAAAAGTCTCACATCAAGAAACCTCTGAATGCATTTATGCTTTTCATGAAGGAACAGCGTGCACAAGTTGTGGCCGAATGTACCCTGAAAGAAAGTGCTGCCATCAACCAGTTACTCGGGAAAAAGGTTATCTCTCTCTTCTTCAAATTGTATTCTCATGTCCATAATTCATTCCTTTTATAATTTTTTTTCATTTTAAATACTTTCATATTGCTAACTCGACTGGATATTCCAGTAGACTGCTGGATTTTGCCTGTTTCTGTTGGTTTAATAAAAATTCACCTGGGTTTTGTACATTTTAGAAAATTACCTAAATTTGAAGTTTCTTTAAAAATCCCTATTGAAATAGAATTGTTGGACAGATTATTATTGCTTGCTTTAATACTTAGAAAAATCGGGGTGTTCTATCAAAATACCGCGAAAGTTGTGCACACCAGTCTTGACGAGTGGTACCATTTATCGATAAGAGGAGAGTTCGAACCTAGAACTGGAAGTGAAAGCACTGCCTTTAACATTTTCTCTCTCGGAACTGTTATGTTTGTTTTTTTTTGGCTGACTGTTATTTTTGTTTGTGTTGTGGAAATATGGAAAAAAATATATATAATAAAAGCATAATAGTTATTTCTAACCTGCATAACTCATTTACAACACATTACAATACTTTGAAAGCCTGGGAAAATGAATTTATTTGAGTTTGAGAATCGACAAAAATGGTTTTGTTACAATATTTTCTTTAAAAAATTATAATTTTATGCTCTTATAACAAGTACAAAGATTTTAACTTTACTGGATTTTGTCAGTTTTTCCTGGTCTACTGGTTTAATAAAAATACTCCTGGTTTCTGTACATTTTAGAAAATTCCTAAAATTGAAGTTTCCTTAAAAAATTCCTATTCAAATAGAATTTTTGTGCAGACTATTACTTGCTTGAATATTTAAATAAGTGTCACCAATACAAAGTGAGCCTCATTCATGAGATTCATTTTACTATTTTTGATGAATTAAATACCTATTACTGTTCAAAATTATAAATTAACATAATTCATGACATTTCAAGTTCATTTAATGTGAAATCCTAACTGGAAAATGTTGCAGTTTTTCTATTTTGATGACTATAAAAATCCCTTAAATTGCCTATGCGTAATATGTTTTGTATATATTTTGCAACAATTGAGATTTATATTATTTCGTAAAATCTTCTGGATTTTTTCCTATTCGTGTTCGCAGCTATGTACTTGGTTTCAAACTTAGTCTGCATGAACCGGAGTATATTTGCATAAAATGTATCATCATTGGTTGGTTGATCCAGAGGTGTGGTCTAAAATTTTTTGTTGGCGTATGCTCAAAGTCTTTTATTAATAGACTTCTTTTTATATGCAATTTTTATAATTAAAAAATTGTAAATTAATTTGACGCATCACTGCAAGTAAAAAATGATTCACTGCACATTGACGTCATTACCGTGTAAGGTAAGCAAGTTTAGCGAGAAAAGTGAAAGAAAGCTTCACTCATTCGTCTCTGCTTAGAGATTTTAGTATTATATTGTATAGTAAAGATGATAAGATCTTGTAATAATTGCAGCATTGTTAATTAACGATGGTAAGCTGTGAATATTCTAGTGAACCATTTTATTGATATACCTAAAAACTATGATTTACGTACGCATCCAAAATTATTAATTGCCATGTATAATACCCTAAATATAAGTAGTTTCATTAGCCCAAAATGATTGATCATTAAATGTAAAAGAGATTAAAATTATGTGAGATATTAAAATTAAGTGTAAAAAAGTGTAATATTAAATAGATTCAATATAGAGATTAAAATGCTAAGATAAAATCCAATAAATAAATGAGTAAAACAGAAAGTAAGATCTAACAAAATATTAAACTAAAAATTAAATAACTAAAAATAGTCAATTAATTAGAGTCAATTCTAAAAGAGCAAAAAGTATTTTACTGTCAGTACATGAATCCAAAGCTCAGCTTAACATGTAAATTTGAGATTTCAACATTTAAATTTTTTTGTACCAGACACTTTCTCTTCCATTTCAATATACTTCCATTCCAATATACATTTCAATATACATTTGATTTGCATACCTTATGTAGAACTATAAAATTAGTACAATGATTTTCTTAAATGCATAAAATTTGACATATAAAACTATTTTTGTTAATATTTAGTAAATTCCAAACACATTTCAATGTGACAAATTTGTTGCCCATGCTTATTACTTTAGCAACGTTTGTAGAACATTTGGCTGCGATTGTCGCCACACTGCCACCATTTGCTTCATTTCCTGCTAAAGAACTGCGTAATTCTATTATCTTTTTTAAAATTTGCAGCTTTAAGAACAGAAGCGGGTGAAAAACTGTCTGGGTGTCCTTAGATAAATCTGTTATTTTATTTTAAACGTTTTAAAAAATCAGAAAAGCAATACGCTACCAAAGGCATTGTTACAAAGCCATAGACAGAATTGACATCACCCTTTACCTTTTGCTCGTTTTTGGTAAACACACTTTGTTATGATAATACAGTAATAACATTTGATTACCTTATTAATGATTTTTAATTGTTAAAATAATCAATTTCAAAAAAAGGTTACTTCCTTATTTTTTAATAAATTTTTTTAATGCTTATTCATGGTTGTGTAGCATTTTTAAAAAGTGCTTAAAGGTGCTTATTCTCAATTTTCGTTTTCAAAGTGTCAAAGGTGTTATTTTTTATTGAGTGTTTTTAAAAAGTGCTTAATTCTGAATTTTTTTAAATAATTTTAAAATGGCTAATAAAATCAAGAAAAGAGTTCATAGAAAGAGTTCAAGAAAAGAGTTCAGAGAAAAGAGAAAATCAGAAACATTTTTTCATGATCATGTAAAGTCTTTGAAAATTATTTTGCATTTTGTTAATGTATATAGGGCTTAAAAATATTTTTTGGGTGGTTAAAAAGTACTTAAAAGGTGCTTATTATTTTTTTTTAAAGATTTGGCTACACACCCTGTTATTTTACCCCCTGTAAATAACAGGGGGTAAGACCCTGTTACTGTAAATTTATTAAGTCCATCACTTCTACTCTTCAATCGAGACATTATTTGATATTTTACTCTGGCCTACATCCCCGTTGCAGAATCTTGGCGACATTATTGCAGAATGTTACTGAGTTCTAGCAGAAAGATTTTTCATTTGGGAAGTAAAATAAAGAGAGATAAAGATTTTAAAGAGTTCGATTTGGCGTGATTTCACTATTTTTAATTTGTTTTTAAATTTGATGATGACTTACAAAGAAAGAAAAAGGAAATAATTAGTGTATTTTCTTTCATAAAATGTGAGAATATAGCTCATAATAATGGAATAAAATATATTACATATTCAATTTAATAAATTACATTATTTTTTCCGAAAAGTTTTTTTTTTCTTTTGAAGTTGACGTTTTTGTTACTGTAAATTAGTAACATATATATTTGTTATTATTAAAAGTATCGTGCAGAAAGATATATTAATGCTGGAGAGTTTTGTCGCAGAAAGCCCGGAAAAATTCTGCCACAGGGGCCTACATTTGTCGTTTATCCGTATCTATCCTTAGTTTACAATAAATGGTCCCATGAGAAACGATCAATCTAAGTACTACTGCACTTCAAAAATTATAACCAAGCAATAAAGTGTATATCCTATTATCTTATTGTTTTAAAGATAGATAATGTCTTGAAAAATGATTTACCTTCATCAACTCTTTCAACTTACAACTGGCATTGGAGATATTTTGCTTTTTATTTGCTTTCATCTTCATTCTTTTGTATTCTACACGAATGAAGTGGGATATAGGAGAGCGGTGATAGATGTTGGCTGGAGCTACACCTTTTGGATAAGGAAACCCTCACCAGTATATACCAGTCAACTTTTACAATTTTTGTGTGCGATATTATCTAGTGGTAGCCAACTTTATTCTTTAATGCATTACTCTTGTTTCAAAAATTTGATTTTAAATTATTTAAATCACCAGAGCATAAAGAATTTAATTAAGATATGTAAGAACTCTTAAAATTGTGCCTTATACTTGTAAAAGCCAGAGAAAATTTAAAAAAATTTGCTAATAACTTTAATGCTTTTTTTCCTCTACCACTATGAAAAATTTGTAGCAAAACTATAAATGTTGCCAATTATGCTGGTAGATATTGGATGAAACTTTATTTTGATTAAATTGTTGGTTAATATTTGTATGGAAGTATTTATGAGGGCCTAATTAGAGACTTGCTCTATAATTTGCATTATAAAGTTTGGGTGTAGTAAAACTTGTACATAGCTGCCAACTCTTCTGGTTTAGCCGGAAGATTTCCGGTTTTTTATCGAAACTTCCGCCTTCCGTTTTTTTATTTTAATCTTCTGATTTTCCTCGATTTAAAAAAAAATAAATATTTTATTTCATATTTTTTACAACAGAGCCACGATCCGAATTTGTATCTGAAAGCATTTTTTAGAGCAGGAATCAAATTCCTGTATCTTCTCGGCACATGCTCGAACAAGGGAGAAAATAAAAGTTACGGCGCAGAAGTTGAAACACACTTGGAAGCGCAGCTGCGTTTCCGAATCTGATTGGCGGTGAGAACGCTCCCTAAATATAGATCCGGGAGAAAACTGTTCACTCGGCTACCGAACGCAGACGATTTTTTTAAAAACAAATTCAGTTGACGGCATCTGGCAACAGAGCAAATGTTTACTATCGTGAAGAAATCGCATGCGTTTTTTTGCTTCTTTTGAATCTGTTAATGATATAGTTTTATGATGTCTAAAAAAACTTATTATTATCAGCATGGTAAATTTATGTTATCTGTGTTATCTTTCTCACATTCAAATGCAGCATGTGAACGTGTGTTCAGTCAGGTTAAAAAAACAAGAATGCAGCTTAGGTCATCTCTTAGTGATGAGATGCTAGAGAAAATATTACACACTGATTATTTTTGTAAAAATCGAAATTGCTACAATGTAACATTTAATAAAATTTTTTTAAAGAAAGCCAAATCGTGCACATATCAGACTTTGTAAAATAATTAAAATTGATGATCGTATGTGTTTTTAATTGTCTTAAAATTTAATTGTGTTCAGGTGAAAAAATACTTTGAAATTTTACAGCTTTTAATATCTTCCTTTTTTTGAAAACCCAATGTTGGCAGCTATGCTTGTATTAAAAATAAAAGATTTCTTCATTTACTTCAAATGATTTTCAAGAGCCGTGCTGGCTTAGGGGATAGAGTGTTTGCCTCTAAACGTGGTGAACCGGATTCGAATCCCAGCAACGGCTGGTCAATACGAATTCCACACCCGGCTCTCCCCAACCGCAATTTTGATGAAAAATATCATGGGTTAGGGTCCCCCTTGCCTTTGGGCTCGTCAGGTTTTCATGGTTTTTCCTATCCGTGTAACGCAAGTGCAGGTTACTTCCATCGAAAATTCCTCCACAAAGCAAAATTTTTCACACTACTTAATCCAAGAGTTCCCTTGTCTTTTGGATTGGGTTCAAAATGAAAAGGCTACGGAGTTGAACATTAGTAGTCGTAAACCCAAAATTGGGTCGGCNTCAAGTTGAATTCACTCGGTGATGTGGGAAAGTACTGATTGTTTCGATTTACGCCCGTTTCTTTTTGGGTTTTTTTTAACGCTAAAACTGTTTATAAAAGTTTTTGTTTTTCAATAATATCATTGATTGAATATGAATTTTTTGAGTGCTTGAAAAGTTTTGTAAAGTGCTTGAAAAGTTTTTAAAAAGTGCTTATTTTTGATTCAAAGATTTGGCTACGCACCCTGATTTAATTGTGTTCAAGTGAAAAAATACTTAAAATACTTAATACTTACAGCTTTTAATATCTTTTTTTTTTTGAAAACCCAATGTTGGCAGCTTTGCTTGTATTAAAAATAAAAGATTTCTTCATTTACTTCAAATGATTTTGAAGAGCCGTGCTGGCTTAAGGGATAGAGTGTTCGCCTCTAAACGAGGTGAACCGGATTCGAATCCCAGCAACGACTGGTCTGTATGAAAATTGTCTGGTCTGACTATTTAATAAATCGACTGGTTTATACGAATTCCACACCCGGCTCCCCCCAACCGCAATTTTGATGAAAAATATCATGGATTAGGGTCCCTTTGCCTTTGGGCTCCTCAGGTTTTCATGGTTTTTCCTCTCCGTGTAACGCAAATGCAGGTTAGTTCCATCAAAAATTCCTCCACAAAGCAAAATTTTTTACACTACTTAATCCAAGAGTTCCCTTGTCTTTTGGAATTGGGTTCAAAATGAAAAGGCTACGTAGTTGAACATTAGTAGTCGTAAACCAAAAATTGGGTCGGCTGGTCATCGACAGTTATAAAATAAAATAAGATGATTTTGAAATTTATAACTGACACTAATATTCATTTCAAACGTTGAAATTTCCATGCTGAGATTTTTAATAGTTTTTTTTTGTTGAATTTGAAAAAATTCATTTAAAAAAAACTACTAAAAATCTTGTCAGAATGATATATGTTGTAAAGTTAAAACACTTTGGGTACACTTAAAATAAATTGCTGATACTTTTTTATTTTAAGAGTTTTTAGTTATTGTTTCTTTTGTTGTTGAACAGTGGCACAGTCTGTCAAGAGATGAGCAATCAAAATACTATGAGCTTGCGAAGAAAGAACGACAAGTGCATATGCAGATGTACCCTGGTTGGACGGCGAGGGATAATTATGCTATCAATGCAAAGAAAAAGAAACGGAAAAAAGATAAATCTCAAGAAACAGGTGAAATTTTTTTCAAAATCTTCGCATGTCCACCCTTTGATTTGTTTCGTTTACTCACCTTTAGGGCCATGATTTTCAGTACCTAATTTTTTTTAAAATCTTTTCAAAATAGTGATGATTTTCTCTTTGTTAAATTGTTTTTTTAATTAAGTGAAATTGTTAATTGTTCCTTCAAATAACAAGTACAATAACAGCCATAAAAAAAATATCCCCATTAAAAAAAGGAGCCTTTTTTGAAAAATCAAATTTGCAGGAATGGAATCTGATAGTAAAACAATCTTTTTATAAACTTGTTATCACCATTTTGTAAAATCAAGTTCTTGTAAGGCATATGTTATAAAAAAATGAAGTATTTTTTTCTTTCTTTTGTTTGTGTAATTAGAATTTTCTAAAGTTTTCAAAGCTAATAAATATCGAATTTCATTCTTCACTTAAGAAAAATAGAGCAACGTTACATGTGTGCACTACATTTCTTACAGAAATTGAAAATTGAAGTGTGAATGTTAAAAAATTATGAAACAAGTAGTGTCCAAAGAAACTCTGTTAATGAATGGTGAAAAGTTATGGAATACCATTCAACATTCTCTAAATTGGGTGAATCTATGTTCAATAAATGTCATAAAAAGTGCTTGATGTTTTAAAATGAACTTTACAGCCAAGAAAGAGAAATATTGAAAGTTACAAAGATTTTTATTATTTTTCAAACCTTGTTGAATCTTCGATTTAAAATTTTTCTAAACAAACAAATACGCTGATATTTTAAAACCCTTTTGTAAATTTAAAAAATTTAAACTTATATTCTGTAAATTAGAAAAATGTTAAAATGCCAAATGCAGATTTAACAAAAATTAAATGTATTAACATTTTAGCTTACATTAAAGTTTAATTTTGAAATTTTTTTTTCTGAAGAAGGGTATTTCAGTGAAATCAGCTGCCTTATAAAAACAAATGTTCTCTCAAAATGGACGAGATTTTAATTGGCAGTAATTAGATCTGATCTTTTCTTTTTCCTTTTTTTTAAAAATATTTTTTTATTAAATTGAAGGAAAGTAAATCTTACTGTATTTGAGAAATATAGTGCTGCCGTTTATCTTTTTTGGGAGTCATACTATTTCTTTCTGTGGGCACAACATTTAAAAAATGGTGCACAGGACAAAAAGTATTACAGAATAATTTATTTCACACTTCAAATAACTATAAAATTTTTACCTCCTAACAACAGCCCACATGACTTCCAAAAAAGGTATCAGCAATGTAATTAAAGTATGATTCAATGAATAATGTCTGTTCGGCATATCCTTAACTCTTGCTGTTACAAGTTGTAGAAAAAATGTATTTCAAGGGAAATTATTTTATCACACAGTTCAGATGCTATAGATGAAATAAAGAATATAATGTTAAAGTAAAAGACAAAAATCTGCCTGCTTTACTCAGATACTCAGTGTTGGAAAAAAAAATAAAGGGACCACCCTGAGAGTAACTTTTGATCTATTGACCGGATCTTCACATTCTAGGACTCAATCTTAACGGCTTGAGGGGGTGACTTCATATATGCTATTTAATAAATGCAGATGATATTTTAAGTTACGAAATCAGACTACTGTATGAACAATAAAGTAAAATAAAAGATATATGGAAAAAGAAAGTCTTCTGTTTATTGAAGCAGAATATTTTAAAAACTGCATTAGTATTCATAGAAAATTGGATGTTCTAAACACACACAAATAAGAAATATAGACAAAAAGGTAAAAATGAAGGAAATGTAATCACAAAATTTTTTATCAGGCAAATCAGAAATCTCAGATCAACTACAAACTCTGTTATTAACTTTAAAGGCTCTATTATATTACATGGTGCACAGCGTTTTTAAAAAGTTCTTAAAGGTACTTATTTTCGTTTTTTAAAAGCCCTTAAAGGTACTTTTTTCATCGGGTGTTTTTAAAAAGTCATTAATTTTCCCTTTTCAAAATTTTGTTTTTATTCTTTACTGTGTCTATTTTCTCTGTGTATTATGCAAAAGCGTCGTTTTCACATTGTTTTTGCAATTTATTCAACCACAATTTAAGTTACGAAATCAGACTACTGTGTGAACAATAAAGTAAAATAAAAGATATTATATGGAAAAAGAAAGCAGTTTATTCATCGGTGAGATTCTTGCACTTTCATGTGCATCTCTGCTGCACTTTGCAAGATATTTCAATTTCAGGCTTCGTTTTCCACCCTCTGAAATTAAACCAAAAAATCTCTCGATCTTTTTATTGTGGACAGTGTAATCAAGAAAAGAGTTCTTTGTCAGAAACTAGTTTATTTTGTCATGATCATGTAAAGTCTTTCAAAATTATTTTGCATTTTGTTAATCTATATAGCGCTTAAAAGTTTTTTTGAGTTTTCAAAAAGTACTTTAAAGGTGCTTATTTTTTGTTGATTGATTTGGCTATGTCCCCTGTATTAAATTTAATTAAAAAAAAGTAGTTTACACTTTATATATTATTAAACTCTTAGTGCTAAAACTTACTTGTACTATTTTATATGCAACCCATGTCATTTTTATATCTTTTCATAATTTCATTATTTTCTAGTATTTTTTTTTACTTATTGTTAATAGAAAATATGTATGATATATTGCCTTAAATATATTGATAACTGTATTGGTTCAATGTATTAAAAATCGAGCAATAAAAACAAAAAACAAATGAAAAAAAACTTAATACTGATATTATAAATTCTAAACCGCTAAATAAGGTTTTAAATAAATAATACTGAATTATTGCACTTTTATAAACAAGCAAGTGGAGAAATTACTTTTTAACATAGATTACTAAAATAAAATTTAAATGTTATGTATTTTGGATGTTGAGTGAAGATGCAAAGTGATATAAGTAATAATGTGTGTAGTAATGTATAAAGTGATATAAGTAAAGTAATATAGGTAATAAATGGCATATTTAAAATATTCAGCTCATTTTTGTGTTTTTATGTTAGTATATTTGAGGAACTAAAGTGGATAACCTTGAATTGTAATTAAAAATATTAATTTATAGTTAAATACAATTAAATACATAACAGGAAAAATCAGTTTAAACCAAAAAATACCTGATTTACCAAAAAAATCTTTCTTTTTTCTCAACCCTGGTATATGTGTTGGATTTCCTTTAGTGCTATGATATTTCTGTTATTTTGCACTAAAAATAGTTAACTCTTTTTTTAATGAATGATATCTAATTTAGTCATTATTATAGTTAAATACTTCTGTTTTATTCTATTGCTGCATTGTGAATTTAATGTTTAGCTAATGTAAGTAGTTCTCTTATTTATATGAATAAATTATTTTGAATATTCTTCTAACATAATTAACTTGCATTATATTAAAGTTCAGGTTATCGTTTTTTGTCTAAAAATACTTGTTAGTAAATTTTTAAAAAAATAAATCTTATTTACATTTTTTTTGAAATAATTTCTTTTGGTTATTAAAATAGAATTTTTTTACGGAACAATTTTAGCCTTTAAGAAACAATTGAGTAATTTTTATAACAATTGTATCCTTATTTTTATTATATATTTTACATAGTTTATGCTTAGAACAATTGGTATTAATATTTATAGACTTTATATATCCTAATATTAATACTTATTTATAGATTAATTTGATATCTTCGCATAAATAAAATTTTATTAAAAAGTTTTATATGCTAATAAGGCTTTTATTATTGATTGATTCATTCCAGATGCTAACAATCCCAAAAAGTGCCGAGCAAGATTTGGATTGGATCGTCAGAGTAGTTGGTGCAAACCTTGTCGGTAAGAGGGTTGTTTCTTTATTTTATTGCTGAGATGAAAAGAAAGAGCATTTTTTTCCTTCAGAATAGCATTCCTCTTAATTGAGGAAGGATATACCAAATGTCTACTCAAATTAAAAGTTCTTTTTATGTGTAAATTTTTAAATTGTGATTAAAATCACCTTAATTAATGTTGAAAAAATCTGTAAAATGTTTAGAAATCCTATTCTATAGATGTCTCAAAGGTTTTGAGTTTGCCTGAAGATTGGCCATCTTGAGTAATAGTATCTATGTGCAATACGTTTCTGTATTTAACTAATTTCACGTTAATTAACAGCAATTTATGTGGAGAAACTTAGCTCAACTTTAATACACCATTTTGCTTATAAGCACTCAGTTGGATCTGATGTTATTTATTTTTAAAATTTTCAAATTATAAATAAATTCAAATTTTTTCTTTATGAAAATGTTTTATCGATATGCAATTCATGAGTATGTTACATGTACGTGAAGTTAAATTAAGATGTATATGGTGTATAGTATTATAATATAATGCATTGTATTATAATATATATCAATAATGTCATTACTCATAATCTTAAATATTAATATGTCAAATCCTAAACAAATAATTTAGTTCCATAGTTTTCAAAAAGTAGCTTCCAGGTATCAAGAATTCTTTTAAAACACAAATGCCAAATTATATTTTCTCCAAATAATAAATGCAGTTTCTCAAACCACAAACAACCAATTAAATGCTTTAACATTTGGGGAATATACAGAATTGTACGCCAATGGACAAACTAAATAATGCTTAGGACAAACTAAATAAACACTCAAACATCGTCTCATAGAACATCGAGGTTACACCAATAACTTAAATTTCATCGATGTTGAAGCAGTGCTTTTACAGATGGCCTTAGGCTCAATTTTTCTTGCCTCATATCTTTCATAAATGTCTGGAAAAGTTCTAAATCATCAAAAACAAGAAAAAAAAAACTGTCATTCAAAATACTTTTTTTAAAATAATAATTTGAAATTAGTATTGCATTCAATGTATATATTTAGTAAACATAGTTTTTGTATTCCCCCCCCCTTTTTTTTTGATTAATGATAATTTCTACATTTTATTAAGCCTGTAAAATTTATACATTGAACTAGAACAATTTCATTGAATGCAATTGTTTCATCAGTATTGCATTCATTGAAATATAATATTAATCAGAAATATTACATTCTATGTAAATTTATAATGATTAGTATAACATAGTTTAAATTTATTTTCCTTTTTAATTATTAATATCTGCAATTTCTTATGTGTGTAATATTTTACAGATTGAACTTAAACAATTTTATTGAATTCAGTTGTTTTACTGGTATTGCATTCATTGAACTATAATATTAATGAGAATTATTAAATTTAATGTAAATTTCTAATGATTAGTATAACATAGTTTTGAAATTATTTTCCTTTTTTAATTATTAAATAATATCTGCAATTTCTTATGTGTGGAATATTTTATAGATTGAACTAGGGATTCCTTCAAATCTGGTCTTCTAGTATTTTGATTTAAATTTTTGTAAAACTGTTTTGAGGCTTCTGTTTGAAATAAGTTGAAAATTGTATAAGAGAATTTTGAAATTTTTTTTTTTATAATAAAATCTGAAATAACACCTAATTTATTACAAAAAGCTCTCTGATTTTATTCAAAAATTTTAAACTATTTGAACTTTCTTTGATTTAAAAATTTTAATAATAAATACTGATTAAGTTTAAAAATATAGCATTTATGCATGAAATTTTATAATTGAATTAAACTTAGCTTAAATGTTTTTCTTCAATCTGCTGAATTATTTGTTTTTCTTTCGTTGGTAGTAACTATGTAAATTTCTCTTTTCTGTTTAGATAGAGGACTATCAAGTATTATGTAAGCGTAATTTTTGGCGATTTTGGACTTCCCCTTGTCAGAAAATCAAATGACAAATCCCCCTTCCGTACTTTTGTAAGAAAGTTGTAACTGACTTTTACTGTAGTAATTTAATTTTAGGATTAAATTCAAAGGAAAGATGTTACATGCTCGAAACTAAAATGAATTTAATTAATTACTACATAATTCATTTCTTGAAATTTTGAGTAGAATATTTTTCAAGTTTTGTGCTCAAAACTTATGACCTTTAAAACTCATTGAAGAATTTTTTTTCTTCAATATTTCTTTTCCCAAATTCTACTATTATTTCGTATTGCAATTTTTTCCATGTGTTTTGTTACATTATTTATTATTATTTTTTAATTAAATTTTAAAATATGGAGATTTTGAAGTCTCAGCATTACTTGCTTTCCTGCCAAGTCTCCTATTTTTTAACAAAAACGCCTGTATTTTAAGGCTATCTATTCTCAAATTTCTCTGTATTTGTTTAAGAAATTAAAAAAATAAGTAAATTTGGCAGTAAAATATCCACTGATGGCAAAAATACTTCTCTTATTCCTCAACTGATTACATTGCCAGTATGTTGAGTGTTGATAGTTTAAGTAATTATAAATAATGGTTTAAAAATTCTTCTTTAGATTAAGATTTATATACATATATTTTACTTCGCTAAATGTCGGTGCTTTTATTTTCAATTTCGAATTTCTTTTTTTGCCTTACATGTTTATGCATGATGAATCACAACTTTACTCATAGTCTAAAAAATATCGCTAGTAAAATATCTGTTATATTATTTTATCTATGTTGGCATGTATGTACTTGTACCCCTCCTCTCCTTCATCAGCATAAGTAAGTAAATCACAAACTCTCTCCCCCGTATTTCAGTGAGTGCTTACGGAATATTTGAATATCCCCAAACAGTGTCTTTTAATAATTCATTTTTACTAATAATTTATTCATGCTCTTTTTATAGACGAAAAAAGAAGTGTATTCGCTACATTAGTGGATCAGACAACACTGGTGAAAGCGAAGACAATATCGGAAGTGTAGATAGTTTGGGGAGCTTGGAGGTGCCTACTCCAGATTCCAGGTTCGGTGATGATCACAGTGACAGTGACTCTGGTAATGGGGATGTGGACGACGAACTCGAAGTGTCTTCAGAGTTTAGTCTATCCAGTCCCCCAGTTCCTAGGCCTCTCAGGGACAGCGTGCAATCTGTCGGAAGTCCAGCCTCGCAGCTTTTTACTGTGCAACACCTATCAAGGTCCGCAGGGTGTCTGGAAAGTCCAGAGACCCCTCCTTCCACGGACTCCTCCACCACCACGACAGCTCCTTTACATGCTGTTACATAGCATTAACTGTGATGGTTTTTTTTTATTGTGTGCAAATGAATGAATGAATGTTTGTGTGCAGAGCTGGACATGGCAATGCTAACGTGACCTCAGACTCCAGGAAGTTTTTGCGAACCAAATAGTGTTAACGAAAGGTTTTTATACTATACTCTGTTGCAAGTTAAGAAAAAACCATTATCCCTATGGAAAGAGCATCTAAGTGTACGCCAAATGGATGCCAAGCTCTCAGCGTGTACAAATATCAACATCACCAACTCTTTAAAAGACGTTTCACAGCTTTTTTTTTCCTTGCTTTCTTAAATCGTGTGAAATGCGAAGAACAAAACTTATTGAATAATCAATTAGCAAGTAATAAGAATTAGTAAAAAAAGTTATCTAAAAATCGTAACAAATATGCGCCTTTCAGTTTGCATGCAAAGAAACTGATGGAGAATAATAAATATTGTTTCTTGTAGATGATTTTCTTCTATAGCGAAACAAAAGTAAAAATTCTTTGTCACATTTGATTTGTTCGAAGCTTGTCAACATAAGACTGGTCATTTTTAGTGCGCCATTCAAATCCAATACTGTTGCAACGTCATGTAGTTGTTTCTTTTTCAGGAACGAATGTTCTCCTTGTTTATCGTAATATGTCGCCATGTCTAGAATTCCAGTAAATACTACAAAACTATAAACTTTTTTAATAATTCGATGATGTATATCGGAAAAGTTAGCACTAATTTAATTTCAGCCTGATCTGTTTAGCTTTTAAAAATTTTATTACGAATGTTCTCCGTATTTATCGAAATATGTTGCCATGTCTAGAATTCCAGTAAGACTACGAAATTATAACCTTTTTTTAATAATTCTATGATATATATCATAAAAGATAGCACCAATTAAATTTTTATCTGACATGTTTAACTTTTGAAAGCTTTTATATTGTTTTGGAAGTATATCTGTATAATTTGATGACGAAATAAAACGGAACTATATGCAGTTGCGGAGGATTACTTGAATCTATCTATCGCAATGGTCTTTCCTTAACTTGCAACGAAGTATCGAGGCGATTTTTAAAGTGCATTAATATATTTGTTTTAAGTTATTATGTGCAACTTGAATTTTTATTGCAATTGGAACTGTGATTTATAAATCATAAAAATGTGTCCATGCAAGTTGAAAGAAATTGTTTTGCTCCCGCCTTTTCTGCAAATGTGGACATTGGAAAATGGTTGCAAAATGAAAATCTAGATTGATGCAAAATGAAAACTAAGAATTATTTATTCTGCATTTCAAGTGAATATTTTTAGCTGATAAAAAGAAATCAGTTGATAATAAGAGATGGCAATGTTATATTAATTACACTAAAAAACATATAACACAGCAATATTTTATTCATTTAAAGAGAATTAAAACATAAGACTAAATACTTCTAAACTTTTGTTATGAAAACACAAAGCAGAACCAGGGTTGGCAAGGTTTAGGACAGAATGGATTAATCCACGGTTTAAACCCTGGTTTAAACCGTCCTGTCCAAAACCCCTTGGTCAAAAACTGTCTTAAACTGTCCAAAACCCTTTTACTCAAATTATGTCACAATTTTATCTGAACAATATTTAAGAGGTAAAATAAACATAGAACTCATTGATAATTAAATTTACTACAGAATATTTGTTTTTAAAAGTATAATGTTTTGTTAATATTCTTTGACTTTTCAATTTAAACATTAAACAAAGGAAGATTAATCAGAAATCAAGTTCATTTGGTCCTCTCATTCAATAATACATGACTGGAGTTGTACCTTGCCATACAGATTAATCTATTAGGGACTAAGTGTTTGGTTAGTCATAAACAGGTTTATTTATCTATAGTATTATTCAAGAATACTTTTATTTCATTCATGTTCAATTCTTTTAGCATAGTGGTGATACATCACCAGTGTCAGTAACTGAAACTGATGTTATGCCCTTCAAAACTGTTAATACATTTTTCAGTTATTTTGTATTTTCAATTTAAACTAATATATTTATATTTAAAAACAATTTTTTTTAAAAATAGATGTCTTTTTTATCATCCTGTAATGCAGAAATTATAACATTTTTTTAAAAAAATATTGTGAAAAATAAAAGGTTAATTTTTGAACAAATTTAGTTTTTTTTTTAAGAAAAATTATTATTTTTTAATATTGCCATATTTATCCTTATGCAAAAATATTATTTATCAGTATTAAAAGCATATTTATATTTAAAGGATTAGGTATTCACTTTTGTTGTTCAATGAATTATGGAGCTTCAAAAATTACAAACCTTTTCCTATTATATTATATTATTTTCTTTTGATAAGTTAAAGTAAACTGTATAAAAAAATATCAAATATTTATTGATACCTGTAATTATTATGTGTACAATGGTTACACCTATAGAATTTTTTACCTTTTACCAAAGTTCAAGGTTTTGGACAGTTTTACCCAGTTTAGGACAGTTTTATCCAGTTTAAGACAGTTTTACCCAGTTTAAGACAGTAAAACCCACGTGTACTGTCCAAAACCAGTTTAGGACGTCCAAAACCCCAACCCTGAGCAGAACAATTTAAGAATTCCATAATTTTCACAGCTAGGTCAATAATTTTCAAAATGATTATAATGCAATGTATTCCCTTAATATCTATGGTCAGTAAATTTAATAGAGTAAAATTTGTTTTCTAGATTCATGCAACTTTTACTAGAAAGTGAAATCACATCATGCTTGAAGCCAAACTTTACCTTGCATGTCTTTTACTTAATATGTTGTGATACTTAAAATTTTATTCTATTCATTGGGAAAAAGACAATTTGAAAAGAAAAATAATGACTTACTAAAACTATTTAATGTTTTAAGTTCAGTGAAAATTATTGAATTTTGATCAGTTTTGCAATAATTAAGCCAATATTAAAGTTAGATTATGTGTCATTTCAAAATTTTATTTTTGTGTGAACAAAGCCACTCAGTTTAAAAATATTTAGTCTAATTTGAAGTTTAAAAATTACTTTTATGCTTTAAATATTTTGTTGCTTTCTTGGAGTAAAGTTTGCATAATTAAAATTTCCATGTTGCCATCTATCGATCATTTGCTGATTTTCATTAATCAATTTCTGCTTTTAAAAAAAAATTGCATTGAATATATTTTACCTATTACCTAGCGGCAAACCTGAACTTTCAGTCTTTACTTTTTTTTTTAACACTTTTAAAGCCGGGTAGCAAAGTTAATGTTTTTATGTATAATTCTTTTGGTAACTTTAATTTAAAGCTATTTTTCACACCACCACATGCGAAGGATTTTAACGTTCATGTAACGTGCCACTTTGTTCAAATTCTTTTGTGATGAGTCTTTTTAAATATTAGTAAAATAAATCAATATTCTGAAAGTTTTGTTTTAGAACGTTTACCACTTTATAAAATGTTTTTCAAAAAGTATACTGATGGGCAGCCCTGCTCTTCACGCAAAAGATATATTGTATCAGTTGTGTAAACAATTATTTTTTCTTCAGGTACTTTCTCTTTTTTTAAAAAAATTATATTTTTTGATTAAAAAGTGTTTACATATTACTCTTAAGACTTGTGCCTACTAAATGTTACAACACTTCAGTAAAGGTTAACTCTCAGAGTAATTTCTATTTAAGTTAGTTCCTTGTCTAGAGATACTATAATATTTTTTCCTTAGTTATATACCAGGGGTTTCCAACTTACATGAGGCCGTGGGCAACAATTAAAAAAACAAATCAAATGGCGGGCCGCAACTTTGTCAAAATTTTATGTAATGTAGGACCCTTTTATGTTTGAATTAACATTAAATATTACTGTCAGATTTTTACCAAGTTGTACAAAACAAAAGTATAGAATTACAAATTAAAATTAGACGTAAATTTTTAAAAATATTTAACTGCTATTAATAATATTTTAAAAACTAATAAATAAATAATAAAAATTCGCGCTGCAATAACTTTAATGTGCACCTATGTATTAAGCGAAAATGTGCAACAGATATCTAATTGTTAAGATATAAAACTTTAAAAAGGTTGGTACAGTACAGAACCATTTATCCGGTATCCAGATAACCGGGAAAAATTTTGATAGGTTTTCCCGCCATTTTAAACTGGAACAATTATGAAAAAAAAGCGGAAATTGAACTCATCCTTGAAGTTGAGTAAAGGAAAATGTAAGGATGGGGAGAATTTTTCCCCCGTTTACCCAGAGAAACGCCATTTTTTCCATGACCTTGAAGGCAGGGAAGGGAGGAATGTTTTGTTTTCTCCTTTAGGCCGTCAATCAAGCTCAAGAGTGTCGCATGCTGATTTCGTTTTCTGTTTGATTTACGAGGGGGTGGGGAAAGTGCGTTGCATGCATATCAGTGAACAGAAGATGAAAGAGAAAAATATATTTATCTATTTGACATCGATTAATAAAAATAAAATCTTTTTCTTCTGAATAAATTTTCATTCTTTGGAAGTGCGGTATCATTTGCAAGTTTTTATTGATGTGGAATCACATCTGCTGTAATTAAATATCGTGATTTTATCAACAAAAAAAAAATAGAAGAATTGTTTATTAATTTAAACATAGGATTATTTTATGAAGCAGATTGCAGTTTTGTTTTTCTGATTCCACTACGTTTGATATTTTTTTCTTTTCACGATAAATTTCGCACTTAATAAATTGATTCTTTTTATTCATAAATTTTATCATTAGGTTTTTTTT